GGCGCGGCAGGCGTGGCGCGTTGCTAGGGCGCGGCAGGCGGCTGGCCGCCAGGGTAGGAGCGCAGTAAGACCTTGTGCTTGGTGACGGCCTCGGCCCGGCGCCGCTGGTGCTCCACCAGGAACTCCTTGAGGCGCTGCGTGGTGAAGGTGAGCGTCTGGCGCCGCAGCTTCATCAGGTAGGCGTCCTGCAGCCACGGGTTGGCGAAGCAGTCCTTGACCGTGGGCCGGCTCCTGCAGCAGCGGGGCCCTGTGAGACCCAGGCAGCGGGGAAGGAAGGACCTGGGCGTCCAGCCCCCCAGCCCTGGGGACCGAAAGCCGGCTGTAGGGGTGTCCAGGGGCCGGGAGCTGGGTGGCACTCACCAGGGGTAGATGGAGAGGATCTTGCGGATGAAGAGGGCGGCGCTCTGCGAGACGTTGGGGTACAGCTTGAAGGCGTCGTAGCGTCCGGCCAGGATCCGGTTCTCCGTCTCGATGGGGTCCAGCTCGAAGAAGGGCGACCGGCCGCTGAGCCTGGGGGATATGCGGGGTCAGAGCCAGGCTCTGCCCTTGAACCCAGGCTATTGCCCCCCACCACTGCCCCTCGCTCCCGCCCTGCCGCCCCTGCTAGCTCAGCCCCTCAGTCACCACCAGCTGCTGCACGTCCTGCCCTGCGCGGTAGCTGTGTGCCAGGGCTGAGCCCGCGCTGCCCCCTCCCCCTGTAGCGCTGCAGGGCCTGGACCCACAGTGCCCCCCATGCAGCCGTGGCCTCCAGCTCACGCTTCCCAGCGCCTGTCCCGGCCCTGGGCACTCACATGATGTAGGCGAGGACACCAACCCCCCAGACGTCAGCCGCCGAGCCCACCGGGTCGCCCTTCACCATCTCCGGGGCTGCAGGAGAGATGGGGCAGGTCAACCCAAGGGGAACCCGGGGCAGGGCAGGACATGCTGTGGGCCCAGGGGAGGGGAGGGGGGACCCGCCTGTAGCAGACCCAGTGCTTGCTTGCCCTGGAGCAGCGGTTTGGGCCCAGTCAGTTGGGCCTGGAGCAGCGGTTCCTGCACGGACAATACGGCCCTGCCCCGCAGAGCCAGGCCAGCCCCTGCCATGCGGCTCTGGCACCAACCCCAGACGGGTAGACAAGTCCCTCTGGCTCCGTGTCAAAGAGCAATTCACATCCTCCATGAGCAGCATGGGGTCAGAGGAGGGGCAGGCTGAAGTGCTCTGGGTCAGATTACAAGGGGGTTGGTGGAAAGGGACTTAACAGTGGGGGTCGACTACAGACCACCCGACCAGGGGGAAGAGCGAGACTGGGAATTCTCACGCCGGCTCCCAGAGGTCGTTAGGTCAAAGGACGTGGTCATCATGGGTTAACAAAACTACCCAGACATCTGCGGGGAAGAGCAGTCAGCCAGGTCTGACCACTCATGTAGGTCCCTAGCCCGAATGCAGGACCTCCACCTAACCCAGGAGGTGCACAGCCCCACCGGGGAGACGCCTTGTCAGGCCTGGTGCTGGCCAGGGGTGACAACCTGGTGAGGGGGCTGCAGGGGCTCGACCACCGCCAGTGTGGGGACGCAGTCAGGAAGGCCAACCGCACCTTCTCCTGCATCCACAGATGCATCTCGAGCAGGTCCAGGGAGGTGATCCTCCCCCTCTATGCGGCACTGGTCAGGCCGCAGCTGGAGTACTGCGTCCAGTTCTGGGCACCGCACTTCAGGAGGGATGTGGACAACATGGAGAGGGGCCAGAGGAGGCCACTCGCATGGTCAGGGGCAGCAGGGCAGCCCCTACGAGGAGAGGTGACAGGATCTGAACCTGTTCAGCCTCCACAAGAGAAGGCTGAGGGGGATCTAGTGGCCTGTTACGGACTAGTCAGAGGGGACCAGCAGGCATTGGGGGAGTCCCTGTTGCCCCGAGCACTGCCAGGAGTGACCAGGAATAATGGTCACAAGCGGGCAGAGGGGAGATTTAGGCCAGACATCAGGAGGCGCGACTTCACGGTCAGGGTGCCTGGATCTGGAACCAACTTCCAAGAGGAGTGGTGCTGGCTCCTACCCTGGGGGTCTGTAAGAGGAGGTTAGATGAACACCTTGCTGGGGTCGTTTGACCCTAGTACTCTTTCCTGCCATGGCAGGGGGTCAGACTCGATGATCTACTCAGGTCCCTTCTGGCCCGACCAACTATGAAACCATGACACCTGCGGCCCCCCTTGAGCCCATCAGATGCCACGTTCATGACTGTCCACCAACAGACGTCCAGTTAATGGCACAATGGGATTCAGTCCCCACAGCCAATGGCTGCCTCCAGCCAGCTCTTTGCACAGTCTGTGAGATCCTTTTGTGGTCTTTTCCCTGTTTTATTGCACCATTCGTGGCATGGGTACATGGCCGGGCTCCTGCTTAAGATGTGATTAAGTGGTTCGCCATGTCCTAAGTGTAACATCTGCCAGGGCCCCTAAAGTCCCAGCGCTGCTGCGGGGTCATGTCCAGCCCAAAGCACGGGCACTGCTACACCTTGATCCTCTGGCCCAGGGCCTGTCCAGCCTCTTCAACTCTCCAGAGCTGCCCCGATGCTCCAGATGGGGCCTCGGCAGCGCAGAAAAGAGACCCTGTTGCCTCCCATCAGGCCCCCGATGCTGCTGTTGCTGGACCCGAGCGGCTCAGGCCTTGTATGCAGCTGCCTCCTGTCCGCTCCCTTCCCTGCGTCTGCGTCTGCGTCCAGCTGGTCGCCCTGGTCTGTCCGTGTGCCTGATCCTTCCCCTGCCCACGTCAGCGCTGGGCACCAGCCCGCGGGCGCCAGCCCTTCCAGCTCCACTGGCTGGGCCCAGGGCAGGCCCTGGCAGGCTCCTCTCCCACCGTCCAGGCACAGACTGGTGACGACACGCTTTGCTTGCGGTGGCGGGGCCGGCTGTCTGTCCGCCTGCACGGGACCTGCTCTGCGCCCGAGTCCTCGCTTCCCTCGTGCGTCCTGCGGCTTCCAGCGCTTCCCCCGAGCTCAGTGGCTGCTTCTGCTCTGTCCTCCTCGGTGCCAGCCCTGGGGCTGGAGGCCTTCGTCCAGCCTCCACTGTGCACTGCCTCCCTGCCAGGCTGCCAGATGCTGCCGACAAGGCTCTTTTCTGTGCTGACCGCATGGACCCTGGCCCTGCAGAGCTGTGCCCTGCCCAGGGCAGAGACCCCATGGCCGCAACCTGGACGCCAGGTCCTTGCCACAATCCCAGAGTCAGGTGGGCACCCTCCAGGGAACCGCCTCCATCACTTCCCAGCCAGGTCCCTGCCGGCCCCAGCCCCTCTCTGGATGGGCCTTTGCTCTCTGCCAGCCAGTCGCAGCTCTGGCCCCTCTGAGCCAGTCAGTCTCAAAGGTGCTGTCCCACCCTGCCCTACCCTGCAGGCTGGCGGGGGTGAAACAGGGCCTGGGGGAGCGTGGCCTGAAGGTGAAGCAGCGCCTGCACTGACAAGCGTGCTCCAGGGCACATGACCCACACTGACACGTGCTCTGATGTGCATGACCTGCCTACACTCCCCTGCATGCTCCATTGTGCGCACCCCGCACACATTCACATGTGCACCACCAGACTCATGTCCCCACATACACTCCTACGTGTGCTCCACTGTGTCCACCCCTGCAGTCACACATACGCCCGTGCACTCGCACGTGTAGTGCAACATGCCCCCCCCACACTGACATGTACTCACACTGTGTACTCACACACAGGCCTTCAAGCATGTCTACGCCCTGCTCTCATGCATGTCCCTGCACACTCACACACATACACCAGTGTGCCCATGGCCCCCGCACATTCACACATGTAATCACCATGTACTCCAGCACGCCCATGCAGCTTGTACTCGCACACGTACGCCCCTGTGCACTCACACATGTACTCCAGCGTGCCCACGCGCCGTCCCAGCTGCCGCAGCACCAGCGGGTTGTAGGTCTGGGCGCTGCCAAAGTCGACGATCTTGATGGTGTTGACGCAGGAGACGAGGATGTTGTCGGGCTTGATGTCCAGGTGCACGATACGGCGCCCGTGCAGGTACTCGAGGCCCTGCAGGATCTGCAGCAGGTAGCTCGCCACGTCGTCCTCCGAGTAGCGGAACCTGGCGCGGGCCGAGCGTCAGCGGGCCAGCCTTGGCCTCGTTACTCCAGGCCCCTCGTTAGACAACCGCCCCGCTCCCCTTGGGAAATGCCCACTCCAGCTCTCCCCCGTTTCTGGGCTGTGAAGCATCCCAGCGGCGGGCCGCGCTGCACGGCTGGGGGTGGGGACCGCTCGGCTGCTCTGGGAGCCCCCGCGGGTCCATGGTGCAGGCGTTCCCCGTGCAACGTTCGCAGCCCCTCCGTCCAGACAGAGCAGTCTCCCCGGGGCCAGCCCCCTGCCCCACCTGTCGACGAGGCTGTAGAGCAGCTCCTTGCCGGCACAGCTCTCGCAGATGAGCACGAGGTAGCGGGGCGTGATGTAGGCCTCGTGCAGGGCCATGATGCGCTGGTGTCGCAGCGCCTTGAGCACCTCGTACTCCTGCAGCACGCTCTGCTTCCGCTCCGCCTCGTACGGCACAATCTTGGCCATAAACCGCTTCCCCGTCGCGTTCTCCTTGCACTCCCGGATCACCCCGAACCGGCCCCTGCCGGCCACGGCACCGCTCAGCACGGCTGTCCAGCACCGCAGCACCCCCCTCCGCGCCCCTTCCTCCCGCCTGGGGGACCGCTCCTGTGGTCTCCATGTGGCTGTGGGCAGAGCCCCCAGGATCGGGGCCCCACCCCACAGGATGGGACGTTTCTAGCCACAGCCCAACCCCGCTCCCACGTCACCGGGTCGGGGCAGAGGGGACAGAACAAGACCAGCCTCCGGCTCCGGCACTGGGCTGCTGGCAGCCGACATGGCGGTGCCCGGGCCGCGGCCTCCTCACCTGGCCTTCTCGTCCAGGAAGGTGTAGGGCTTCTGCGGCACCCCCTGGTGCAGCCCCGAGCTGTCCTTGGCCGCGGGGGCCTCTCGCCCCACAGGGCTGATGCGGCTGGGCGTGGGGGCTGCGGGCACGTCCTCGGTGGGCGGTGGTGCAGGCGGCAGGGAGACGAAGGAGGTGACCATGAACTTGGGGGCTGCTGACGGGGCCACCTTCCGCACTGGCACCGTGTTGGCGGAGGGGGCCGCCGGCGCGATGGGGGAGAACTTGGAGGCCGGCTGGGCTGGTGGGATGGGCGAGACCCTGGCACCTGGGGCAGCCGTGGGGGCTGGGGAGACCCCGGCATCTGGGGTGGCTGCAGGGGCAGGCAAGGCCCGGGCTGGTGCGGCCGCACGTGCTGGCAAGACCTGGGCATGTGGGACAGCCGTGGGCGCTGGTGAGACCTGGGCTGGCGCAGCCGTGGGCGCTGGTGAGACCTGGGCTGGCGCAGCCATGGGCACTGGTGAGACCTGGGCATGTGGGACAGCTGTGGGCGCTGGTGAGACCTGGGCTGGCGCAGCCGTGGGCGCTGGTGAGACCTGGGCTGGCGCAGCCATGGGCACTGGTGAGACCTGGGCATGTGGGACAGCCGTGGGCGCTGGTGAGACCTGGGCTGGTGCAGCCGTGGGCACTGGTGAGACCGGTCCATCGGGGGCGGCTGCAGCCGGGACAGGGGGTGCAGTCCTGGCCGGCATCAGTGCTGGCTCCGGCAGTGCCGACACCGTGATGGCCAGAGCAGGACCGCCCGGGGGAGGCTCGGGCACCACCTCGTCCTGGGCAGCACCAGGCCCGACCGCCTGGTGCGCGTGGGGTGGGGTAGCCAGTGCAGCCCCGGTGCTCTGGTCCCGAGGCGTCTGGGTGGACCGGGAGGCAGCCTCTCTCTCAGGGGGGGCAGCCACTGGCTTCCTGGCACCGGGGGGCTCTGGAGGGACGGAGCGGAGGGTCAGGGCACCTGGGCAGCGCCTGGTCCTGCGTCCCCGCGCCTGGAGCCTGGCTCACCTGCGCCCTCCACCACGACCTTCTCGGAGGGGCTGCTGTAGGGGCCCTGCCCGGCCTTGTTGACGCAGGCGACGCGGAAGCGCACGGTGGTGCCGGACGGCAGCTCCGTCACGTTGAAGTAGCAGTCGGCGATGCCCGAGCTGATGATCTTCCACTCATGCTCCCCTGGGGCGGGTGCAGGGGCAGAGCCAGAGTCAGGGCTGGGGCAGGCACCCTGGCACCCCCCATCCTGGAGCCGGCAACGCTGCAGGTGCAAGCCCAGGCCCAGGGCCGGTGGCATGGCAGGGAGCTCTCAGTGCCCGTGCATGCCGGGGCCAGGGCTGGGGCCGGGGCCGGGGCCGGGGCCGGGGCAGGCAGGGAGCATGTACCGTTGGCCTTGCGCTCCAGCGTGTAGGTGCAGGGGGCCTGGCTGTCCGAGGGCTTCCACAGCACCAGCACCGTGTTCTTGTACTTCTGCGGGATCTCGGGGGTGCCCGGCTTCCCGGGGAGCCCTGCGGGGCAGGGATGGTGGGGTGGGAAGGGGCAGGCTGGACCCAGCTGGCAGCTGCAGCTGAGCTAGCACCAGTGCGGCTCCGACACCTGGAGACCCCCCGGGACCCTCAGTGCCCCCAGACCCCCGCCCGTGCCCTTACGTGCCACCGCCAGGGTGCAGGAGCTGGCAGCAGAGCCCAGGGCGTTGGCAGCGACGCACTCGTACAGCCCCGCGTCCCGCCGGCTGGCCTTGGCAATGGTCAGCAGCTGGCGCCCGTCCTTGCACGACACCACACTCGCCCCATCCGCCGGCTCCAGCGGCTGCTTGTCTGCGGGGAGGGACGGGCCAGAGGGGCAGGGGCTCGTGGCACTGGTCTTGGGATGCTCCCCGCCCCTCCCTGGACCCCCAGCTGCACCCCATGTGCGTCCGTGGCCCATTCACGGTGGTCTGTGGCCCGGACGCAGCATCCCCCAGCAGCCCACACCTTTCATCCAGATGATGCGGGGAGAGGGGCTGGCGGCTGGTAGGCAGCAGAGAGTCACCGGGTCGCCCTCCAGCAGCACCTGGTCCTTCAGCTTGATGTGAAACACGGGGGGGAAGTCTGGGGAGCAGGGGGCCGGGGATGAGTGGGGGTCCCCAGCCCCCACGGGCCAGCTTGCCTCCTCCCATCCAGCCACAGGGACAAGGGACCCCATCCACCCTGCCCCATCCCCGCACACACCTGACTCGCTGGGCACGTAGGGGCGGCCCGGCGCGGCACCATCCTCGCGCAGGACGCTGGCCGGCAGGTTGGGCTGCGAGGCCACCTTGTCCTTCTTGCCCCGCGACAGGCCCCAGCGGTCCCAGCGCGAGCGCCCGGAGGCTGCAGACATGAGCATGGCTCAGACCATCCCCCGCAGCACTGCGGAGCCCGGGTGCCGCAACTGGGGGGCTACGGACCGTCCGGCTCTGACGCTGGCACTCACCTTTCGTGGAGGTGTCGGAGCGGGCGCTGGCCTCGGAGGCGAGGGACTCGGACGAGGGGGGCGCGGCGGCAGCCTGGGCCCCCAGCTGGTCCTGGGGGACGCCCACCTGGCGCAGGTTCTGCCCCTCCGAGTTGGCGCGGCGCAGCCGGGACAGCAGGGGCGTGCGCTTCTCGGGTGCCTCGGCCCCCTCCGCCTCCCGCCGGTCCTCGGCCTGGCCCCACAGCCGCAGGGACACGCGCTCCACGGCTGAGCTGATCTGCCGCCGCACGGCCACCACGGGCGACTCGCCCCCGCTCTCTGCCTCCGGCTTCTCCAGGCCCCAGGACTGCCGCCGGCCCCGGCTGGGGGTCTCGCTGCC